CCTCCCAAAGCCTGAGGATTCTCTTTTTAAAATAGCAGTAACATCTGCTATGTAGAATCATTAAGTGGTATAACAGACAGAAGACACCAAATACAGTATAGGTGCTGAGTAATGCATAACTATAGATTATTTATCACAATTGAAAAAGACTTCATTACTATTTAAAAAAAGAGTTTTAAAGGGTCCTTTGATGTCGTATTTCTACTTATTTTTTTATTTCCCGCATAGGCACATATGGGATGAGAATCTGCTTGAGCAATAACTGCTGGGTTTTATATTGTAATGCACTGCTGCCACTTGCTACTTAGGTATAGCCTTGCCTTCCCAAGTACATGTTTCTCATTTTCTAGGATACCTTTGGAGTAGCACCTGTCACAAGGTCTATTATACAGTACACAAGCAGTATGTCCACTAATTTCACATATATATTTTTGTGTTCAAGGAGAATCTTCGAGAACTCATCTAGTTATACAACCATGAACTTGTCCTGGCCTAACCTGAGCTTGTGGCTCACCCACACCAGTTTTACCAATTTAGAAATCCCTGGAGATGAGTTTTATAATTGGAACTCTTTATCTTTGGACTGAATCAACAGAGAGCTTCATCAGAGAGGCTGGGGGTAGGCAGATCATTTAAATCACATCATTTGATCCTCTTTTCTATATTTCTTTGCATGTCATATATCCATTTATATCCAGGAAATTTATACGACATTGAGCAAGGTACTTAATTGCTCTGGGCCTCAATTTCCATGTCTGTTAAATCTCTGTCATGGAGTGCCCAGCCTCTATGACACCTGGGTACAGCTGGGAGAACTTTTAGAAGGAGTTAATATAATAATGCAAGCACAGTACTTAGAAGAGTACCTGGTATATAGGAACATTCCATAACTCTTAGCTATGCTTAAGGTAGTCTTGTTTCCTTGAGAAAAAAGACGTTCCCACTGATGTATCTCTGTGTATGTCATTTGGTTCACTATATTAAATAACTAAATATACTAGTAGCTGTGGTGATGCAGAAAGAAGACATACTTCAGTGTGTGTTAAATAATTTGTTAAAAGAAACAAATTAATGAAAAAGGAAAGACTTGGAAGTTAGAACAAAATGCCTTGTTTGACAACTAGCTCATTGTATGATCTTGAACAGTCTTCCCACCTTACTTTCATCTCTAAATTGAAGTTAAAAAGGTCTACTGCATAGGATTTTTGGAAATAATAACTAAAAGACCCTGAATATCTACATTCAATTTGCAATATGAATAAATTGTTTTCTTAGTATCTGATACAAACTGATTTTCATAAACATTAATCAAAAGTCAGAGAACAGAAACAACATTTCGGGAAGATTAGTTACAGGATTTGCTAGCTGTCCACTCTCCTGAACATTAAAATATCTACTTCTAGACCAAGCCAGATCATCAGAGAAACATATACCTAAATTAAATCCTATTGTTCCTCCCTCAGAAAACTCATTACCTAATTACACTGGTATGTGCTGCCAGCAGACCATATTGATAGTCTTTACAAGAATAATCTCAGTAAAACTTATTATTTGCATTATAAAGAGACTGTCAAAAACATTTTTCATTACTTCCACAATGAACTCTTTATGAGATTTTCCAGGAGAAAGGCCAGCTTAGATATAGGACTAAAAATGGTAGTACTTGTTCTGAATATTAGAAGCTTCCAATGTAGATTTACTATTTAGTCACTGGAACAAGCTAAGAATGCATTCCTGCATTCATTCAAAATATTTATTGAGCACCTACCATGTGGCAGACTCTTCACTAGGAACCAGAAATGCAGTAGTAAAAAAAATATCTCTGCCTTCACAGACCTGAGACTAGTGAGAAGGAACAGATTATTAAACAATTGGTCATATGTGTTATATAAACAAACAGCTATGTATTACATAATATGATAATATAAAGTGCATCAGGAAAAGGTTCTGGGTAACTAGGTAAGATCTGTTACCCCCTTGAGTGGGCAGAGTCTCAAATAAATCTAAGCTTTGACCAAGAGAAGCAGATTATATTTCTCACAACAATGCTATGAGGTAGGCACTGTTGTTTCCATTTAGCAGGTGATAAAACTGAGGTTTTATTCAGGCAAAGTAATAAAAGGGCCTGAAGAAAAACATACACTTCTGTGGAAAGCAGGGGAAGAAAGATACAGGTAAGGAAAAGACTAAAAATAGGTAAATGGAGAGAAATCCTGAGAACCTAGCATGACCAGAACTGGTCTATTCATGTACTGTGTATCACTATGACAGTCTACTTGAGTAAAATTATATTGTGCAGAGTGTTCATAACTATCTGTAAATGCTTTCACGGGCCCCCGAGGAAACTAGCTGACTTTGTGACTCAAAATGGCTAAAGAGGAGAAGGTATCAAAAAAAGAACAAAGAAAGGTCCAGTGCTGTTTGAGATATGACCTTAGAAATTTAATTAATTAAATTGAGTCACATCAGCAAAACCTTATTAGTTTATTTCTGTCATCACTCACTATGAATGGAGACAGAAATATGTAGGCCATATTGAGATTATAAATCCCTCCTTCAAATTGAATTTTTATTCTCAAAGATGCTGGAAATTTAGAGAGTAAAGAATTAAATATCTAAGAGGAATTCTGTCTACAAAAAGTTTAAATGAACAGTTTTAGTCGTAGTCCCAATACATAATGAAATAATATATGAGGCCGAGGCAAGAGGATTGCCTGAGCCTAGGGGTTTGAGACCAGCCTGGGCAACTTGGTGAGATCTGTCTCTACAATAAATTTTAAAAAAAAAAAAATTGCCAGGTGTGGTGACATGCATCCGGAGTTCCAGCTACTTGGAAGGCTGAGGCAGAAGGATCGCCTAAACCTAGCAGGTCCAGGCCGCGGTGGCCATGAGTATGCCACTGTACTCCAGGCTGTTGACAAGAGTGAGACTTCAATTCAAAAAACAACAACAAAAAAGAAATAATATATGAGACTTGGAGACCATGCGAGTAACTCAATGAACTTGGTACTACCTCATGTTGCTTGGTGTAGCAATAATTGTCAGTACTTTTTTAAGGTTTGCCTTGTGCCAGGTACCGGTCCTAAGTGTTTTCAGGTATCAACAACATCCTCATGAGGTAGGTAGTATTATTATTTTACAGCTAAGGAAACTGAGGCATAAAGAGGTACTGTAACATTTCCAGGTCATATGGCAGGTAAGTTCAAACCCAGGCAGTCCAGCTCCAGAGTCCAGGCTCTCAGCCACTACTTTATTCTACTGACTTCCATCTAAGAGCATTCAAATGACATATCAGAGAACCCCACTTTAGGATGTATCTAAGAATTCACCTTCTCTTGTCTGGGTTTTATGACATGAAAATGAATGGCAATAAAGCATGGCGAGGGTGATCCTGTGCCCTACTTTACCCAGAATGGTCTTGGTGTATGCCTATGCTCCCAACAACCATCAGTATCTTCTTTCACTCCTGAGTGTTCCAGTTTGGAAAACAAGTTACATATTCACCTAACTCCAGTAGTTAAGAAGTTATGTTCTGAAGTTTGCTGAAACTACATTCAAAAACCAAATTGGTTATTTACTAGCTGTAGAAGTTGAGGCCAATTATTTTGCCTGAATAAGTCTCAATTTTCAGACTTGCTAAATGGAAATAATAATAGTACCTACCTTATTGCACTGCTGTGAGAACTACAGGAATCAATGCATATGTGAACTATATGAATCAATTAGTATAAACCTTAGCAAAGAGTTAGCACTCAATAAAAATTCACTTTCACCAACCTTAAGTAAATGTTTGATAGGCTTTATTACATCAGCATAATTGTGGTAGACTGTGTGAACTTGAGATATCAAAACATAACTGTGAATCTACACCACCTAGTCATGAACTAGGAGTAAGGAATGCCAGACTTTCTAAGACAATCACTGGTCCTTCAAGGAGCATCCATTCTAAGACTAAATTGTAATACTAAAGGTACTGAAAATGCAGTTTAGTTCTCAGCCACTCCCAGGGGTTTTAATCTATTTTATTCCAAGCTCCCTGTGGTAACATCTCTGAAATGCTATATTTTATGGTGTCAGGGAAAAAGGAGGTGGTATCTTTTGAGTTTATAATCTCTTTGCAGACACTTTTTTAGCCTCTTGAGCCAGTCTGGTTCATAACTATAACTGCTGGGATCATTCTGCATTCAAACACAAGCCCATACTGTACTTTGTATTCCGTGTACTTTGTATTCAAACACTCAAGTAGCCTTGATATTCAGGGAATATCCTTAATATGGCATGGGCATGACCACAGCCCACCCTATTTGTCTGCAACTTCAGTAACTGGCTACATATCCTAGAATCTGACACCCAGGAAGAAAGAATTTTGGAAATCAGATTCATTGTCACAGGCTTGAAAAAACCACATGGCTAGTTAGTATCTGTACTGAACAAAACATCTTTTATGGCCTCATTCTCTTTATTTGTCAAATATAGGGATTAAATCCATTGTATTATTTAAAAAGTCAGGAGTTGACTCTTACATGGTCTGGCTCTGTGCTTGCTAAAAGGACTCCATCTGCTCATGAAAGATAACCCATTTCCTCCTTACTTTTCAAAACTTCCAAACCTCCCTCCCATAGTAACTTCTTTAATAGCATGCCTGACTGCCAGCAAGTTCTTTGCCTCCACCCAGCTTCCTCTCCTCATCATGCAAATTGCCGTTGGCTTTAATTAGATTTAATAAGCCACGGGGAAGGGCAGCCAGGGAAATGGAGAGCAAAGATTGCACAGCGTGGGCCTACTCTTGCATGTCCAGTGCAGTGTTTCCCTAGAACTCTCATATCCTCCCAGGCTGAGAAAATGAGGAATGCCAAGCGTATGGAAAGACAGGCTGCTGCTGCTGTCCAAATGTGAAACGTGGGTGGAGAAAAATCATTTAAAAAAAGAGAGTGAGGGAAAAGAGAAAAGGAACGCGAATCCCCAACAGCTGCAAATAACGAAGGCTGCAACTCTGTTACCTTGAATGAACTCTGATTTCCTGCTCACAGAAGGCAGGGTCCTGTTGAGCCCCAGGATCCTGTCTAGGTGGAAGGCAAACACCTCACTCATGTCCAGGGGCTGCTTCAGCAGCCCACAGGGGCTGGAGTCACAGCGTGGCACAGAGCCAGGTGCACTCCCCTCCAGCAACAGCAAGCGGGCGCCGCTCCTTGAGGACACTGGCCGGAGACCGGCCACTGCGCTGTCCGCCAGGAGTCGCATTCTTCGGATGTCATCTTTGCTCAGCCAGGAGGGGGCGCTCTCGCTGTAGATCCTGATGTTGCTCTCCCTGGCCCTGGGCTGCAGTAAGTCGAAGCCCCCAGCTCTCACTCCCGGACCCCGCAGCAGCCTCCAGGGTTGCTCTCCAGCCTTGGCCAGGTTTCCTCCCCGAGCGTGCCCAGGCACTGCAGCATCAGCTGCCCTCACAGCTTCCTGCGGCTGAAGGGATGGTCCGACCAAGGCCTCCTGTCCCGGGACCACAGATGCCACTGCATACTTTTTCCTGCGCTTGGGTTTCACGGTGCCACGGATGTTGGCAGGCTTGCTGCGCTTGGAGCGTAAAGTGATGTACACCACATTGGGCTGCAGGGTGGTCCCGTTGCCCTGGGACTCGGGAGGGGCCAGAGTACCATCCAGGGGTATCTCAGGGAAGGGTCCTTCGGCAGTGTCACGGCTGCGGCGTGGCCCCTTCTCGGCCGCCTGTCCGTGCTGGAGAGAGGCCCGCCCCACCTGGCTCACCAGGAAGCCCAGGTAGATGGCGCAGGCAGTGCCCAGCAGGAGATTCCTGCGGGTCCTTGGACGCCGGCTGCTCCAGAGTTTCCACACGCGCGGGACGCACAGGGAGCAGATGAACCAGTTTATAAGTTGCCCTGGCTTGTCTGGACAGGTCATTTCTCTGCCGCATCCACATGTTGAACAGAGTTTAAAGCCTGCACTTGGCTCCTGCTGACATGATGCATGGTTTCCTGGATTCAGCTGTCGCGCCCGCTTCGGGATCTAAGTGGTCTCCCGTGGGTAGAGGTGGCAGGAAAGGGCTGGTGATGGAGTTGGGAATATTTTGACACTCGCTACAACAGACCTTTTAAACTACCAGCCTCTCCAAGGAGTAATGTAGCTTGTTTCTGGGAATGAATGGAAACAGAGTTAACTGAGTCACAATCTCAAACCATTTCAGTTCCTCTGCCGAGTGCTGAAAAAAGTAACCCTTTCCTTTCATAAATATCACCAGCAATTTTTTTTAAAAATCAAATTTAAGAAATGGAAATACGATAGCTGCATAGATTTGATATTCAGTTTTAAGTAGTGAAAACAAGCCACAAAAATCCAAGAATATTTTATAACTTGTAGCTAGACTCATTTAAGTTGATTATGAAGCAAAAGCATTAAAATGTCACAAACCTGTGCTTTTCCTTTTTGAAGTTCAGAAATAACTTAAGACAAGTAATAGATGGTTTTTAAAAACCTACAGCTATCACATATTTATTTTTACAAATCCTGCACTAACTAATTGGACAGAAGCACCAACTATTAACATTCAAATTCAGAAACATATTTTCTTAATCTAACTGTACACATTTTTCTTTATAACATGTTCATTATACATGGAGTGTTAATATAATATAAAGCCATAACTTGGAAGCAGTTACATTTATCCTGTAATACACACACACATACACACACACAACACAAATCTGACTGCTTTTTATTCCTTTTCTTTCCACCAAAGTCAGCTGAAAGAAAATAAAAGGATCTCTAGTTCTATTTTTTTCACTATTAAAAAGAAAAAGAAACTCGTAAGCAACCTTACTTACACAGCTGGCCCCATGCTTGGCTCCAGGAAGAATGTAATCCCTGACTCTAATGCAAAGAACTTTTAAAGGCTGAGGCATGTAAGTAGAACATATTTCATGGTCAAGGGTGTTCTACATCTCAAACATTTCAGTTCAGCTTTAAAAGCTCCCTTGAAAAACCACTGATTGAAAAGCAAAATGGTTACTTGTAAGCTGAATACTGCAGAGTTTTAATATGTATGAGGTTTTAAAAAACAATAGTTAAAAAATAAACTTTAATTTTAAATTCTGAAAAAAGAAATGCCGTACAGAATCAGTTTTCATTCAAATAACTTTCCACTTATTTTTAACCCCTGGGAGCCCTCTAGCGTCCTGTTTGCAAACAGACTTAAAATGTCAGTCTCAAAAAAAAAAAAGTTGTACTCCAAGCCGGGCGTGATGGAAAAAAAAAAGAAATGTCAGTCTCATGAAGTTAAAAAGACTGAGAGTGTTTGCTAGGCTTGGTGGGGCAGCAGCCACCAAATAAATGACTTGTGAAATGAGGAATGCCATCAACCTTCAGATATCCATACCACAGAGCTCGGGATTAGAACACCAGCATTCCCAGGAACGACTCACCTTACCATCCTAGCCATTTACAGACTCCTATTTGTCTCCCACCAATTCTGAGAAGAAAAAACCTAGAAGTTCAGGGGGGAAAAAGGTAAGAAAGAGTTAACAGAAACGGGGGAAAAAATAGAACAATGAGATAAGCGTGCACAGAGATAGGGAAAGACTTTTATAGTGTGCTATTGCACAGTGCAACAGTTCACAAAAAGAAGTCGTGGACTCTCCCTGATTGGAGGTTTTTTTAAAAAACAGGTTAGTGATTGGTCTATGTAGTTTGCATGTCCTGGCACAAAGACCAGGGCTGATGACCTTGGGGTCTCACATAGGCTTCCATAGCAAATAGAATCAAAAGAAAGAGGTGGAAAAGGATAAGGATTTTTTTTTCTCCCTACTGAGAAAGAAGGTTGGGATACTTGGGAGTAAGAGATTAGCATATGACATATAATCTTTAAAATACTACATTTACAATGTAAAAACAGCAAGGAATTGGAATATATAAAGGAAAGAATAAACTTCAAAGTGGTAAAATGCCAAAAATTCTAATAGGACTATTATTTCAGTACTCTTAAACTCAGTCCCTTCCTCCTCTCTAAAAGTCCTACCACATGGAGGAAAGAGAAGAAACAATCCCAATATTGACAGTAGCCTAGAAGTGCCTGTAAGTTTTGGCTAAACTTCGTGAGAATTTAGGCATCAAAGTAATATTCATTGTGCTCCAAAACTCTTTAAGCACCCGCCTTCATAAGCACAGAATATTTTTTTGGATAGTAACTGTGAACTTCTTGATAGGAATCCATGGAACGGCTGTCTTTTATACCTATCGGATTATTTTCATACAGTCAGAAGAATAACTGACCTGGCTCTTTAAAAGTTAAAAGTAAGTCTTTGGCAGAGGCCAGGTTATAATAAGCAGAAGCCTCCTCTAGCTGTTTTTAAAGCAACTTTGTTACTGGAGAAATGCCTAGAAAGTAGGTAAGTGCTGTGCCAGTTAGTGATCAACTTTCCCAAGCCTCTCTCTGAAAATGTCTCTTATTAGAAATGACCAATAAAACATTGTCACCTCTTATGGTCACAGTAGGGATAAGCAGAGGCTATAGTGGGTGATATACTGAGAATGGGCTGTGAAGAGGGGAGGCCTGACTTTGAGTTCTCCTCATTCAGCTCTTAGCTGTGGTCACCTGTGGCAAGTCATCCTAACTCTCTAAGCCTTGGTATTCCTCATCTATAAGAGAAAAATAATAATAGCACTTACCCCATCGGTTTCTTGTGAAGACTAAATGACATAGTGGAGGTGGAATGACAATTTCAAATACTCATGTGTTTGTTTTTTTATCTCTCCTAATGCTTTATTAAACTTCTGAAAGGTACCTCTCTCAGTCCAGGCCTCAACAGAATCACCACTGTGCCATGGCAAACCTATCATGGCAAAATTGGGGGACAAGAACATTGAATTATTAGTGTATCCAAGATACTGGTTTAACTAATACAGTAGATAAACAGGCTCATCAGATGGAGTCAGAGAACAATTTTTTTTTTCTTTTTTTTTTTTTTTTTTTGAGTTGGAGTCTCACTCTGTCGCCCAGACTGGAGTGCAGTGGCCGTACCCGGCCACCGCAGCCTCGACCTGCTGGGCTCCGGCGATCCTTCCGCCTCAGCTTTCCAAGTAGCCAGAATTACAGGCATGCACTACCACGCCCGGCTGATTTTTGGATTTATTGTAGAGATGAGGTCTCGCTGCCCAGGCGGGTCTCGAACTCGCGGACTCAGGGAATCCACTCGCCTCAGCCTCCCAAAGGCACGGGATTACAGGCTGAGCCACCGAGCCCAGCTAGAGAACAATTTTAATCACTTCCCCCATTGCCCATTCAAACCTGTTCTTTGGCCTGGTAACTCTTGTTACCTCTTAGATAAAAACTCAGGAAGGTCCATGACTTTTCTAGTCATGCGTAGATTTTTTTTGTAAAGTTCTCCAGTCAATCATAGACACAAACACGCATCCATACACACAAATTAATTTAAATGTTTGATTCTTGTCAAGTTCCAAAAATTTTTGAATTTCTTTTGTAAAAATTTTCTAGAATTTCTCCAGAAGCTAGCTGTCCCTCAAAAAATCATGGCCAAAATCTGCTGAAAATGGGGAGAGGAGAGCCAGTTAGGATTCTCTTTTTTCTGTCTAGGGATTTCCATTCCTTAACCACCCACTCACTCCACTTTGAGGCTGGATCTGGCTGTTCCAGTGTTGAAGGGTAGTGGAGAGAGACAAGTGGTAATGGCAGAGACGTCCTTGCTACTCATTAATATTGCTGTGAGTTGGTGTACACTTCCCAAGCTTGGCAGGGGTGTGTACAGCTCATCCTCTGATGAGTATTTTACAGTCACTTCAAAGACATCACTACCAAAGCCCCTGTCTGGCTATCTGTTGATGGCCCCCAACCCCTTGGAACCTGGAAGCCCACTGTTTTGTTGGGTCACCTCATCCCTCTAGGCTCTTCTCCTGTGCAGCATTTAAGGTGACCCACAGGTTGGCTTTCTCACTTGGGCCTGTATGTATTACGCCACAAATGGCCCATTAGACGCAGTCACCATCCTTTGCCCCAGAGACCTCAGGCTTCCCAAGGCAGCAACACTTCCTTAGCACAGTGGACCTACAACTCATTTTGGAACATGGAAACAATTTCTATCCATTGCTCAGGGTCTCTGCTGACAAAGAGTAGAAAGATATTTTCTGTCAACAGGTAGTATGGGATTCAAGAGAAGTTTAATTTAGTTTTAGAAAAATTGAGCTAAATTATTTGAATGAGTGTTGATTTGAAAATGTGTTGCCATAATATAACATTCACATATGTCTTATAATATAACCTGTGAATGTACATATAGAACTCAAAATATCAGTTGTTAATATTATTAGATCAGAAAAACAAATAATCCTCATCCTGAAGAATTTTCTTTCCACTAAAAAAAAAAATCCATCAGGGAAACAAAGTGAAAAAGTAGACAATAAGACAATGGCATGGCCCATTAAATTACCTGGGACCTTTTTATACCTTGACAGAAGAGGGAAGAGTATGATGGAGAAACCACAAGTGGAATGGGGATTGTGGTAATGTTGTAATTCTTTATTTAGATACTATTTACAAAAGGATGTTTATTTTGAGATAGTTCATTGACTGTACATTAGTGATTTGTGTACTTTTCTATATAAATATCTTATCCTTCAACAAAAGTGGAAAAGGTGGTAGGTAAGTAGCTATTCATTTTATATTCTTTATACTTTGTATATACTATAAATCTATATAGAAAGAAGGTAGAACACTAATTATTTCTTTGCATCTCCTTTATTTAAAATGAAGAATAAGACTTTAATCATTTAAAAATTAAATTTGAAAATGACAAAAAAAACACTGAAAATTTTTTAAAATATGTAGATGCCTAGGCCCCATCCATCTTCCCAGAGATTCTCATTTAATGATTGGAGTAGAGTCCAGGAATCTATGGCTTTAAAATCTTCTAACCCTAACCCTAACCCTAACCCTAATACTAACTCTAACCCTAACCCTGATACTCTGCTCTAAGAGTTAAATGGCTAGTTCTAGAAACAAATCAACACCATTTTACAGTTAAATGTTCTGCAAATCCTTCAAGGCTTCCAATGGTAAGATCCAAATGTGGTAAAGCAGTTTGCCTTCAGCAGATACAGATTAAATGATGAAGAAGCCTCAAAAGTCCCACCCACAGCACTCTCATGTCCCCACTCCTGTCAGGTGTGTGTCACTAGCTGCAGCTGTATAGTAGCATGTCACCTCCTGAGAGCCCTTCAGAAAGAGGAATATCTAAGGACCCCATGCACTGAAAAGCTAAGTATTAAACTTCCCCTTGCTGTTGTTGACCCACGCTTGTTGCACAGACCTGCAGGTGGACACCTTGTTCCTGGTTCTTTGCCTTCCAGATCCTTCCACTGAGTCCCTGTTCATTGTTCCCCACTCTCCTAGCCTCAAGGACCCATAGTTTTTCTAGAACAAGAATCCTGGCTTTATCCTAGGTTCATGGATATACACTCTGCTCTGCTTATCATATGAAATTTGCTGATACTTTTGTTCTCCATTCTAATATGAGGCCTGGATAGCACCAACCTTTCCTATCCAGCCACCAAAAAACTCTTAGCCTGATAATCCTGGAATTTTTGTCATAAATTGTTTAACTGGCAGAAAGGAGCTTGTAGTTCTTCAAACAGTACTCTATGTTGTATCTGTCTCTTAAACTGTAGGCAAGAGAAGCTGTAATTTTTGTGTTATATTTTATAGAAATATGTGCACTTCTTTCTGACACTTGGTTGCTCATCCTTAAGGACAATTTTCCTGTTGACCTATTATAGTATTATACTAACCCTTCGCACTCGGATGTCCTCTCTGAGAGGTCATCGTAAATCCAGTAAACTACTCTGATGTCCCCCTCTCAGGGGACATAAAGAGCCTGTTGGTGGTGATACAGGACAAACTTAAGCTAGCGCAAATTTTTCAAAAATGCACGCTTTCTTGAAATTTTCCATTCAAATTGCACAAAAAAAGCAAATAAAGAGATGGAATATATACTGAGGTAAACGTAAAAAAAAAATCAGCCAGTGTTATATAGAAAGAGAATGTGTGAAGTGCTTTCAGTAGTGTACACACTGGACAATAAATTACATATTATTAATGTGAGAGGCAAAAAACAAGATTGCATTGTCTGCTCAAATAGAAAAACGCCAGGTGAAAGACATCAAACTAATTACTATTGCACAATATGTATTAATGAACCT